CACACACACACACAGACCATTAATAGTCTCATTCATGTATGTTTGAGAAATCCTTGGAATCTCCTGTGATAGCCAGGTAGAGCTGACAATACAAAAAAAGTCACTGATGATGAAGAAATGAATAAACTAAATAAATTAATATTTGGTTTCGTTTTCTACTGAAGTGACAAAAAAAGACAATACAAAGCACCGCCTATTTACACAAAGCTCCTCCTTGGAGTTCAGCCTGCAGCCGAGCTCCCACAGAACACCCCTCCAATGAAGCATTGTTGTGAAGAAGTGGGAGTGTCAGAAAAGGTAGGAGGTTCTTAAAGAGGCAGAAGCCAATTTCAAAGCATATGCTTAGATACTGTATGAAGCAAAGTCAAAAACTGCTCCTACTTTCATAACAACTGAAGGTAACATGGTTTCTTGACTGTGGTACTATGTAGCAAATACAGAATTCAAATACAGAATAATCCATCTGTCAGTTCACAAGATATTTTGCTAAAAGTCAGACATAGTTAATTTGAACCAAAGCAAAGTTTAAAAACAAATCTTTCGCTCAGGGTAACGTGTGCGAAATGACTCTCAGCTACTAACACAAAAATGACTTTAACTCAACATCAGCAAAACTGACTGAGTTACAGCCGTTTTTGTTTGATAAGGTTGCTTAGCGTAGCAGAAGGAAATAAGATCATCACAGATGATCTGTCTGTTCTTTTATAAACTGTTGGCAAAGCGAGGACATGTAAACACAGAATGGCCATGGCTGACCAGCGCATTCGATCCCTGCACCACCACCACTGCTCCGCTTTACAAGAGCAGCATCATTTCATCCATGGTTGCAGAGGGATTATGACCCAGCATGAAATTTTGAAAAGATGCAATTAAGAACAAAGCATTAAAGGATTAGTGTGACATTTGGGAAACTGTGCTCATTTACGCTCATGCCCTCCTGCATGTAAATGTAAAGTTATAACAGCTTTTATATTCGCCCACCACCCCACCCCTCCCCTCCCACCCCCCATTTATCCTCCATTTATGGGTCTTGTTTGTGTCCAGACATTGGCTCTCTCTCCTTTGTGCTGAAACAGGCTGCTAACATGGTGTCTACCTCACAAAACTAAGGCTGTGGATGAACATCGTATATGCAGTTTCACGCGTGAAACAACTGTTAGAACAGAAACAAACTCTGACAAAGTCTTATACGAGGACCGAGACAGAATCAGTCATTTAAAGTTTGAGCTGTTGAGCAGTAAAAAGTCTAGACAAACTCAGCCTATGAATAGGAAGCAGAAAAATGCATTATGCCTCAGGAATGCTTTTAGATATTTATGTGGACATTTGAGTCCTGCTTTTACAGTGAAAAACCATTTTTTTGTTGAAATCCATTATAACTGATGTGAATCCAAGGTGAAGGAAATCCTTTCAAAACTCTCAGCGAAACATTTTACAGCCTCCTTTTGAGCCCACGTGGAGTGTTTCAAATATAACATGTAATATCATTTTAAAGGGATTGTTCGACTCTTTTGAAGTGGGGTTCTGTGGAAAGATTGTGAACAATTATTAGACATAGAGTTTAATTAAAGAAAATAGATGAATGAATATTCCTGATGAATGAATATTCCTGCAGGAGTTGCACCAGCAATGCTACAGCTAGCTGCTGCTAATGATGTTTGTGCTAAATACTCCAATTTCTATTTAAATAACCATCCATACATCCTTTATCWATACCCGCTTATTCCTTTCAGGGTCACAAGTCCATCACAGATATTATATTTAAATAACCACGTATTGGAAAACTGACTGAAAGTCATCATTTATTTTAAAACAGCAATGACATATTTGAGATTGGTGTTTTTTGTCATTCAGGCAAAGTATTAAACTTTTTTTCTTCAAACTGAGGTCATTTACGTATAAAACTCCCTAAGAGGACATGTTCAGAACCTTTCCACAGAACCCAGCTTCAAAATGTGAAAAAATAACTTTTGGCTTATTTAGATTCTTAAATATTGATGTAAAATTTTGAAATGTAAGATTTGAAGAATTTTTAAGAAAAGAGAAAGCAAGAATTTTGAAGTTTGTGTATCTTCTGTTTTGTATTTTACACGCTGTTGTTAGCTGAGTTATGTCTGGTGGAAAAAGCTCCTCATAAATACATAAACTACAAACATTACTCACTCTAACATCAAAGCRTCATCTCCATTGTTCTTTTCATGTTTTTGCATAATTTGTAAGTTCCATTTCTTGGGATCTGTTAATAGGTTGTGGTCGTCTGACTTCTGTGAGCAACCCGATTACAGTGAAAGCTTCGGGGTCCCGCTTCGGCTCCTGGATGACTGACGCCATGATCCCCAGCTCCGACAGCAGGGTAGGTGGAAACTTTATGAAAAGGAAAAAAAGAGTTAAGTTTGAAGTCAGTGATGGAAACTGAGAGCAGGTGGAGGATTAAATACAGTCATGGGAGGAAAAAACCCTCTCTCTTTCAATTTGGTGTCCATCATTTTACAATGAGAAATATTTTTGACTCGTCAAAACATTTAAGACAGTTGTCAATCACAAATGTTTGTCCCAAGTTCACCTCAAAATCAGTCAGCTCAGCACTCAGACAAACTACCAGAGAACAAAAAGCTGCAACTCCAACTGTAAAGACCTCAGTTATTGTCATAAATGCTAAAGGTCATGACTGTAATTTTTAAAAATGAACAAGTATGATTTGTATCGTAGAGTTCTCATAAAAAGTCTCTTCTCTACAAAGGGCAACACTGCTTAGCGGTGCAAAGTTAGAGCTAAAAAAAGATTTAACAATATTTTGTTTTGAACAGAATAAAGTGAAATAGAGATGTTTGACCACAATGCTCAGCAGGCTGTTTGACCAAAAGACCAAACAGTGTGAGACTGAAATCCTACAGAAGATGCTTTGGCTTTACAAGTGCACGGGGGCTATTCACCTGTTCACACATGGCTTCTAAACTTAAAATATGCCAAATAAAAGACATTGTGCTCGTGTAAGAGTTCTATTTTAACTGAAGTTTTGGGGCCTGATTTTGGGAATTGGCAGGCAATAAAGGTCCACATAATTAATTCACCCCACAAAGTAGTTCCTCCTAAACACTGTAAAATTCTGATTTACTCAGCCTGCCATGTATTTTGTTCTGTGTGCTTTTCAACTATTTTTACAATTTTAATTGGATTTGAAATGGTTTTAAGTGATTTATTCTCATTTTTTTTTTTACTTATTTGCAATAATAGGGCAGTACAGTCTGACACCCTGCGTTTGTCCATTGGGACGTTAAAATTTCCGCCCTAAAGACATTTTTTGTTGGTTTTAGCACATTGATACAAACAATGTGCTAAACCTAATGGAGCTCATAAAATCCAGGAATAGTGCTCAGCAAAATTTGTGTCAAACAGAGGAGGAGATGTTCTGTTTAAAAATGGATTTGGAGAAGACAGAGCAAGCTTAAACTGAACACCAAAAACTAAGCACATAAAAGGGAACGGGATTTTTTTTTTTTTTTTTTTTTTTTTTTGCCAAGAAGGTAGGATATTTTTTTAATCTGTGGCGACTTTGTGTGAATAACTGAGCTAAATTTGTGCTAATATAGAGCTGCGGTCATGAAATCATCTGTCTGTGAGTTTGATCTTAGAGGATGCATAGTTCACCGTTTAGTTTTAATTTTTTTTTTTAACCTTCAGATTTAGATTTGTTTCACAGGACGTCTTGCCCCCATAAAACTTTGTTAATCTTGGGAGTTATTGCAAAATTACAACAGACTATTAGGGCCACACAATGAGGTTTTTTTTATTATTATCACAAGAGTAAAGTCATAATGATTTGAGAATAAAGTTGTTATATTACGAGATTAAAGTCGTAATTTTACGAGAAAAAAATCATAATCTTACATGACGTGTCCATTTCCATTCCTCATTTACTCCTTATTTTCCCCACACCTGCTGTGTACAGCCATGGGTCTGTGTTTATAAAGTAGTCTGTGATGACTCGGGTCACTGTTAGATTAATACGCTTTCATCCAAATTAGCTATGTGCCGACTAAATCTGTCAACGCATGCTTCAGTTTATCATATAGTTGTTYGCACAATTTCCAAGTCCTGCTACTGATAATGTGATGCTAATGTGCTAAAAGATTAACTATTTATTTTAAGGAATACTAAAGAACAGCATGACAAGTTGCTCAACATTCCTCATTTTAAAGCAGTGGTAACTGCTTTTACGTGTAAAGGGTACCGTATTACGAATTTAATTTTAGAATATTATGACTTTAATCTTGTTATATTACAACTTTATTGTTGTTATATTACAACTTTATTCTCTGAATATTACGACTTTGTTTTCATAATAGTATGATTTTAATCTCATAATAATATGACTTTAATTTTGTAATATTACGTCTTTGTTCTCATAACATTATGGCTTTATTTTCATTTGACTTTGATGTCGTAATATTATGACTTTATCCTCGTAATTAAAAAAATCTCTTTGTTTGGCCCTAATACTTTATTGTACAAAACAACTCTACTAATACACTTAATTTTAGCTTAATTTTTACTCAATATTACAAATGTTTCAACATTTTTTTTTGCATTTGCTAAGAAGATTAATTAGTTGTGATGCACTCTAAAAATGAAATGACGGATTTACTTAACCATGTTATGTTAACTGGTTCCACTTAACTGAGTTGAGTAAATTCAAAGCAACATACTCATGTTCTTTTGTTAAAAACCTGGTATATTGCTTTGAACTTATTCAACTCAGTTAAGTGGAACCAGGTAACATAACATGGTTAAGTAAATCCAACATTTCATTTTTGCAGTGTGGTTGTCTCGAATCTAGTTAACTCCAAAAGTTAATCAGCGGTAGATTCATATTCAGGAATGGTTTTTTTGAGTGTTTCAGAGAATAAAAGCAGATTTGACGCACATGATCAGTTATCAACCTTTTCCTTACTTCTAAAGCGATTTTTCTATCTCTTCTCTAACATGACTAGCCTGTGCAGTTTGTCTTCATTCATTCTAACACACACACACACACACACACACACACACACACACACACACACACACACACACACACACACACACACACACACAGACCATTAATAGTCTCATTCATGTATGTTTGAGAAATCCTTGGAATCTCCTGTGATAGCCAGGTAGAGCTGACAATACANACAACAACAACAACAACAACAACAGACACATTTAAACAATCTGTTCAGAAGATGCATATTAAGCTAGTTGTCAAGGTGACTGTCTCCCAGTTGCCAGGTGTGATTTATATCACCATGGTGACCCTTGGCTGTTCTCTTAAGAGCTTTTCCCCAGTGATGTACGCAGCATCGGTATTCCAGATGTGGCCTCCTGGTTTTCCAGTTATCAGTATGACTGGGTTTTTTGTGGGGAGTCATTGATGTTTGTTTGCAGCGTCTTCCTTCTTATTTTTTCCCCTCTTGTTTATTATTTCATCCTTTGTGCTTCAATCTGGGCTGGCCTGAATCACTGGTCATAAAAATGCAGGATGCAGACTTTCACAATACAAATATCAACGTCTGTGAGCAGAAGGCACTTTAATCTTGGTTTGCTCTCAGCTTTAATCTCTTCTCTTCGAAGGACACTTACCTTAGTGCTTTAGTGTGTATCCTTCAGGCCTAACCAACACGTGGCCTGCGTCCTTCTTCATTAAACATGAGCACATCTTGATTTTTATAACTTCATTTACAAAGTGCCACCAAAACTACAATAATCAATTTTATACTTTAAATAGTTTATCTCAATCTCATCTACTAATAAGAGAACCTGTAAAATAGTGAATAAATTGTTTCATATGTGCTGTTTTAAATAAAACTCAGAAATTTAAAGTGAAAGAGTTACTTTTAGACATATGAAATCAGTTTATTTGAATGTAATGTTATGCTGTTGACTTATAATTGTGTTTTTACATTTTGACTAATTAATTAATTGATTGATTCATTTATTTTTTGAAGAGGTTACTTGGATTTAGGAAAATAAAATTCCAGACAATAGGAGATTTTAAGTAGAGTAAAAACTAACCTTGTTTGAAGTCCATAAATGTGAACCTTTAAATTTATTTTTTAGTCAGAAATCAACAATTAATTGTTGGCAAGGAAAGACACATAACACAGCTG